CTGCATCCCGCTCACCCTCAGAGGTCTGGCTGTGTTCTCGGTTTGCAAGCCAAGCTGCGAGGTGACGACAGGGCTCACTCATTGCCAGACGGGCCACTCTGGAACATGGCTGCATGAATGATGGCGTGCAGGGACCCCCGGCCCTGGCTCAGCCCAAACGACTGCACCAACGCGAGTCCACCCTGGATACTGGATTTCTTTGATGATGGCGAGCGCTGGGCTGGAGAATCAGGAGTGTGAAGCCTGCCTCTGTCCCTCTTGAGCCAGCCCGAGGCCTCTGCTCGTCCCTCTGCAGCTCCGGGCCCTGGCTCTGTGTACCGGAGGGGCCCTGACACCGAGCCATTCATCAGCAGAAGGAATTGGCGAACTCCAACCTTCTGGAGAAACACCTCGGGCTGGGGAGGAGGGGAGGAAGGCTGACCATGAACTACCTTAAGGAAAAAACCAGCATCACTTGACAAAGGAAGGCCCTTCACACCATGAGAATACAGTGATCTGTTAGGTTCCATTTCGTTTAATGCAAACACAAGACCACTTACAATTCCCATTTAAACACAAGCACATGAAAAGTACAGGGGATTCTGAGATGAGTTTCCACTTCTTCCTCAGACAAGGGGTACGAGCACTCCCGAGTCAGGTGCCCGAGGCAGCGGGCCTGGCACTGTTCTCTGGGTCCCACGCCAGGAGGGTGCCCCTCCCCGCCAAGCTGCCATGCTTCCTTCCTCCTGTGTTCAGAGTTACCAACGCTGAGCCTCCACCCCCCAGGTGAGCAGATACAGATCGGATATTCTCAAGTGGCCCTTCTAGTTCACTCCATCTTCCCTAACATCTGGGACAGGCCCAGCGTGGTCAAGGCTACTTCCAGATAGACACGGTTACAAGAGCCTAGGCTTCTGCCCAGGAGTCCCTGCCCGCCGCCCCGCCCCCAGGGACACGAGCTCTGCAAACAGGTGGCGGAGTGACCTTCCCGGCCTGTCCAGTCACTAGCGGCCCAGGTGCTGGGCTGTGCGCTTCTAAGGGAGAGCCGAAGGGGCCTCTTCAAGTCGGCAAGCTCCATAGCTCTAGCTAGTGCCGGGCCGGGCCATGCCAAGTGACACGCAGGCCACATGACTCCTCATGCCGGCTGCCACGGTGACTAGGACTCCTAACGTGCCCGTGGCAGGGAGAGAAGTCAGTTACCACACCCAAGGGCCGCCTCCTTTTTCCTCCTCTGAGACGCCCGGGGGGCCTCCGTGGGCAGCCATCCTCACCCCGTGAGCTGCCGAGCGCCGCCCTGACCCTTCCCCAGCTCCCGAGCTGCCCGGCACCAAGCAGGGGTGCGGCCATCGGCCCTTGCCCTCCTTGGCGGCAGGGACAAGGCTGGCCGAGCTGACAGCCCCGGCGCTCTCGTCAGCGCCCCACACCCGCCTCGCGGACACACACTCGGGGCCTGCGTGCGCTGAGCCCCCCGCCGGGGAGGGGGCCCGTCAGGGCGGAGGCGGCGCGGGACCGGCTCTCGGGGCAGCTGCGGACGCGCAGCCCAACTGACGCCTCCTGCGCGCGACTGGGTTTTTCAGAGAGCCGCGGACACCAGCACGCGGGGCGTACGGTCTACAAGCGGCGGGGTCTGCTCCGATTCCAACGGTGTCCTTAGGAAGCCAGGCTTGCCTCGTCCCAGCTCAGCGGACGCCCAGGCCGAACACGCGGGGTCGGCTGCCGTGCAGAGGGGCACGTGGGGCCGTGTCCGCAGGACCCCACCTTCCTGCTCACTTCCGCTTCTGCAAGTGCGTTTGGGCACTGCAAACTGGTGATCAGGAGACGGTGGCTCTAGGCTTTGGCTCGGCCTCAGACAGCGGAGCTCCCAGGGACAGGACCACACGTGGGCCAAACGGAACGTCCCAGGAGGCTAGCCCAAGCCAGACAGCTGCGGGCCAGGGGAGGGGCCGGTCCCCGGGGTCTGGTGGTTACCGCAGTGACCGTGGCACCGCAAGGGCTTTTCATCAGGACAGGCAGCAGCATCCTTCCAGACCCACGCAGGCGGGCATGTTTCGCCAAACCCAGCAAACGTTCCTTCCCCCATCCCCCTCCCACCTCAAATACAACTTTAAGCAAACAAAACAAAACCTGCACGCTTCCGGCTCCGCCGCTTGTTCTTGACGTCTGTAGTTCTCGCTACCAAAATAAGAACACGTACAGGGCAGAAGGGGAACACTCATTTCAATGCATAAATGATTCCTAAAAACTAAGCATGTCAGCCAGGAGACCGCCCCTAGTCCCCTGTGGAATCAGAGGGCAATCGGGCGCCAGAGTCACAGCTTCCTACTTGGCCAGAAGGTTCCTAAATTGTCAGCGCAGGACTATCCAGGCATGCAGGTCTGCACGGAAATAAATGAAAAGCCACCACCGGGACCAGCTCTCTGGAAGCGCGGCAGTGTCGAGGCTGGGTGGCGGGCGGGCGTGCGTGCGTGCGTGCGTGTGCGTGCGGGTGCGAGAGGGCGTGTGCGCGCGTGGTTACCTGATGCTCTCTCGTTCGCTCCTCGCACCCACCTGGGCTCAAACTCCTACCCCCGGAGCATCGCAGTCCTCGCGCCCCGTCGGCTCGGGCTCCACAGGTCTCTTCAGAGCCTCTGGCACGGCGGCCACAGAAACCAAACTCACCCCCCCCCCCCCCCGCCCCGCGAGCTCATCCGGAAGTTAGAGTGAGAAGCCGATGACGTCAGAGAAGCGGGTCCAAACCAAACGAGGCGCCGGGCACGCGCCGTGGCCCTCAGATCCGGGGCGCTTCGGGGGGCGGCGGCTCGGCGGCCTGCGTCTGTAGCGTCAAGTATTTCACTGGCGGGAGAGAGGCGTCTGTCAGCGGGGACGCCGGGCCCCCCCGCCCCCCCCCCGCCCCGCCGCAAACACGCGCTCCAGGCCCCGCGGGTGCCCGAAAGCCCGTGCCCCGTCTCTTCTGTCCAGGGCCTGGGGACAGGCTCGGCCCCCCCGGCCAACCTCCCCTCTGGCGCCCACTCTGTCCCCGGTCGGGGCGACCCTGCGCCCTGGAGAGCACGAGGAAGCCTGTCCTCGTCGGTAAAATGGGCACGCTCCCGGCAGGGCTGGCCGGCCACCGTGGCCGGCTTCCCTCTGCTCTCCTCCAGGGCCACGGAGCCCGCGCGGTGCAGCCCCGCAGTCCCCGTCCCCGCGACACAGCGACGGGCCTGGCCCCGCTGCGGCTTTCGGCTCCAGGGACAACAGCCCGGCTGCCTGGCCTCCCTGCCTCCTCCTGCCTGCCCTCACCCGGCCTCCAATGGCCCTCGGAAAGTGCCCGCCCGCAGAAGGGAGAGGCACGGGGGGCGGGGGGGGGGGGGGCGGAGGGGCAAGGGCTCTGAGAAGAGGCTGTTTTAGCCCAGTCCCTCTTGCCTTTGGGCAGTCTTCAAAACGGAAAGTCCCGGGCCTAATTTCAAGGCTTCCCCCCAGCTGGGTGGGCGTCTGTCTGGGCTGCATCGGTTCCCCCCCCACAGGGAGTAGAGGCCCCGCAGCGCACGGAAGCGCTCGGCCCGCCACCAGACCGCCCTGGTCATGGCCCCTGGGGTCAGGAAGCTGGAATCTGGCTCAAGGGCAGGGTGCAGTGAGCCCTGGGCCCCAGCAGCCGCTTGCTCTGGCCGGACATTCTAGAAACAGACGCCTCTGGGCTTCCCGAGCACCGTTCCGCTTAGCGCGGGGCCCACCGACTAGCAGCCCTGCAGCAAGAAACGAGGGCCCGTGAGGCCTCACCTTGGGGTTCCTCACACACAACGGCTTCCAGGTTCTCTCCCTTCACGTAGTCTGCGTTCAGCCCCTCTGCAAAGGGCAAAGAGCAGAGGTGGTGACGCACATAGAACCGAAGGGCCCCTGGCCAAGCCCAGGGGTTCTCGTCATGGTCCTCAGAGGACGCACAGCGAAGGCCTCAGCCCCGCACCCCCCTGGGGCAGGTGCCACCACCCGGGAGACGGGGGCCCAGACAGCAGGCTCAGCACCACCCATGGGTCCGCATGCCAGCCCAGGGCCCAGCGAGGTGGAGGGAGCCAAGCGCCGCGCTGGCCGCACGAGGGACGGACAGAGGCGGGTGGAGAGGGGCGGAGGGCAGAACGGGCTTCAGGGCAGAGAGGCCGGCAAAGCGTCCTGCCGCGTCCCGGCCACACCTGCCCCTTCGGGCCGCTGGCAAGAAGCGCTGTGCGCACGCCGCGGAGGGCCCAGCGCCCGGGGAGCTGCTCTGGTCCCTTAGATAGGCGTCCCCCCCCCCACTGACTTCCAAGAGGGGCTCCGGGACTCTCAAAGCTTCCTCTGCCTGCCGGCTCTCAGGTCACCGAGCACCCGGGACTCCGAGCGGACCCCAGCCTGCTGCTACTTAGGGGGAGTCCAGAGTCCGCGTCGTAGCCCTGGGTAAGCAGACGCTGGAAGCCTTATCAGAGCCCTTGGGCCTGTGGGAAAATCGGGCCACGATTCTCAGCAACCAAATGACTGAGCAGGCACAGACGAAGTCCCTCTGCCACCCGGGGCTACATCCAGGCTCCCCGCACCTAGAAAAGGACGCCTGCCCACCCTGATGCTTTTGAGCTCAAGGTGGACACCAGACGGGCCCAGGAAGAAGGTGGGCATTGCTCGCTGGCAGGGGTGGCTGCCCCCGTGTGGGGCAAGGCCTGTGAGGGAGCCAGCGGAAGCGGTTCCTGCCCGAGGGCCGGGGGCTGGGAGATGCCCCCGAGCCTCCCGATCGCTGCCCCCTGCCAGCCTGGCAAGCACTCAGCGGGCCTCGGCCTCCCAGACAGGACCCCCCACCCCAGCCACGCGGGGCCCAGAGACAGAAGACAGCAGAGTGAGCTAAAGATGGTGGTGGTCACAGCCAAGTCGGTGAGGGCCAGGAAAGGGCTCGGGGTGGAGGGCGGGGACGAGGAGCAAGAACAGCGGGTGGGGAGGATGGACAATGATGTATTGTGGCCAAAGCAGAAGAGGAAAATGAGTAAGTCGAAGCATGTCATTACCTTGACCTTCTGCTGCATCTGAAGGCAAGACACAAAGCTTAGGACCCTGGGGTAAGAAGTTAGCCCCTGGCAACAGACCACAGGGGCTTTCTGCGAGATGCACTGACCCTGTCACACTGTGACTTCATCACTGAGGGCAGAGACAGAAAGCAGAGGGTCCCCAAAGCCCCCCCCGCCCAACCCCGGCAGCCACGCCCCGTCTCCCTGGGGCTTCCGGGTGCACGGGATGCAGAGCAGGTTCTGCTCTGCCTTCTGTCACCTCCATGTGGTGCTGGCCGTGGCCACTCTGGGCAGAGGCCTGGCAGAAAGGGTAGGATGGGAAGTCCCGACCCCAGCTTCTCAGGGGGCTTAGCTGCTCCACAAACATCCATGGGGCTCCTCCCGATTCCGACCTGGGTGCCAGGGACACATCCGTGGATGAAGCACTCATGGTCCCCCACGGAGCTGCCAGTCCCTGGCGCGACGCGGGGGCGGTGGGCGGTCACAGACGCAGGAACCCAGCCCAACAAGGCCCCGCGGGCTCCAGGCCCGGCCGGCAGGGGGCGCTGTGGCAGCACGCAGCCTCAGCATCCAGCGAGTCCCATGGGCGGGAGGGCAGGAAGGCTTCCCGGGAGGGTGCCCCAGGCCCAAGGATGAGCGGATGAGCGCAGCCAGGTGAGAAGAGGGCCAGCGGAGAGAGGAGGGCACGCTCGGGGAGGGAGTATGGTTTCTGGAGACAGGGGCTGCTGGCGTGGTTGGAGCCAAACCAGGAAGGGCTTTGAATGGCCAAGCTTAGCGTCTAGACCAGGACCAGCAAGGCAGTGGGGAACGTGCGAGGTCCAGGCGGAGCCGTCCCTCTGGCTGCTCCGAGCAGAGAGGCGTATGGGGGAGAGCGGGGCAGGCGGGAGGTTGACGGAACCATCCCGATGGAGGATGGGGAGACCTGGCCCCGGACAGGCAGAGGCCTGTGGCCGTGCTGATGGAGAGGTGCGGCCCCAGGGCAGGCCTGTGCACGGGGCACCAACGCTGGGAGGGGGAACCCACTCACGCGGGAGGGCCCGGAGACAGGAGCGGAGACTACTGACAAGTTCTGAAGACTGCTGATAACGCAGGGGTGGGTACGGAAGGGAGGTCTTCAAATCTGGGGCATACGCCACACTCGGTTCCCTTCTGTGTGAGGACCATGCTTGCATGAACGTGCCCAGGGAAGGGACTCAGGACAGCGTGGGTTCAGCAACGACAAGGACATCCTTGATAGACGGAGGGGCAAGTGGGGGACGAGGAGGGGGACGGAGCGACAGTGAGATTCCAGAGGCTGAGGGGGCGTGGGGCCAGCAGGTGTGGTGTGAAGTCTGCAGCAGGAGGCGGGCACACCTGCCTCCCCCACCAGCAGACTGGCCGCCACCTCCAGGCTGCCCTCAGGCAGCAGAACCAGGTCCTCCCGCAGACTCGCTCACAGCTCGCAGCTGTCAACACCCCCTCTCTTCGGTTTATTCTCCCTCAAGTATCACATAAATCGTTCAACTCTATATGCCAAGGCCGTCACAGTCTCATGTTTTCTTTGGCTTTGCCTGCTAATCCAATTTGCAAAGCCTCACACCGGTTTTAGAAAACAAGTGTGAAAATCAGGTATTTTCACTTCACTTGGTGCCCGCGCCTGCTGGTCTCTTCACTGCTCGGCCCTCCCTGTCCTGACCTCAGGCTCCCCTGTGGATCCGGCACATCTGGACTCAGTTCTTTCAACAGTCCTCTGAGCCTCTGTTTCCTTGTCGATAAAGTCAGGGTGCCCTCAAACCTGGGCCCTGGGTCTCAGGGCGGGACCCCACATCCAGCGCTCGGCAGTGGCTGGGAAGCCGTTCGTACTGTGACTCTGTTACCCAGCATGCCTCCTCATGGCTCCAAGCCCCGTGCCTTGGCATATGAGCCCCTGCCCAGCTTTGATCAGCACGGATGATGAGCATCTCCCTGTTAGGGTGATGATGCCGTACTGCAGGAATGGTGGCCCCCAGAGACGTGGCCACGTCCTCCGCCCCCCACCACCTATGGATGTGACCTTATTTGGAAAAAGATCTTTGCAAGTGTGATTAAGGATCTCAAGATGAGATCATCCTGGATTTAGGGTGGACCCTGTGATGACAAGTGTCCTTATAAGAGACGAGGAGAAGGCACACAGACACAGGAAAAGGCCATGTGAAGCCAGAGGCAAAGATCAGATTGGTGGGACCACAGCCAAGGGACACCCGGAGCCACCGGAAGCTGGAGGAGGCAAGGAAGGATCCTCCCCTACAGCCTCCAGAAGGCACAAACCCTGCTGATGCCTTGATCTTGGACTTCTGGCCTCCAGAACTGTGAGAGAATAGATTCTGTCATTTTAAGCCACTCTGTTTGCTTTTGAACTAGGACAAGAGACAGCTCTAAGGGCAATCCAGCTTCCAGTTCCATACTCCTTCTTGACACCTCCCTGTTCACACCACTCTACAGCCAAGCTTGTGGGTCCAAGGTGGGTCAATAGGATCTCAAGCGGGGCAACCATGAACAGTTGTGCAGATTGTGTAATGAAACATGAACCGTGCACAACCTGTGTAACCGTATGTGGTGGCCCTGGTCAAGAACGCTGTACAAGAGTAAGAGAAGCAAATATAATCGCCAGAGGAACAAAGAGGTGGAGACTTCCGCATTACCCACATCTAAGCATTCTGGGGCTCAGGCTCATTTGTTGGTTCCAGGCAAAGGTCCAGAGAAAGGGCAGGGAGGGGAAGCCTCAGAGGAGATGCTCCTAAGCTTCAGGAAAGAGGAAAACCAGGCTTGAGCCAGGCCCTCACTTGAACTAAAAATCGCCAGTCCTAGAGACAGCGTCAGCAAGCAGTGACACATCAAAGCTGTGCTGGTGAAACGGGCGAGGGCGCCCTCCTTGCTCACCCTCACCGGGTCCCCGCAGGCTGGCAAGATGGGGCTCACTTTGTCACTGTTCGACTTACAGCTTAGACGCGCTCGGCTACAGTATAAAATGAAAGCAACCTTTTGCACGTGAAGCCTGTGGGAGGGGCAACCCCCCCATTCTGCCCCTTGCCTTCCTGCTCCTTGAAAGCCCTCATCGTTGCGGCGGCGCGCTGGCTCTCAGAGCCCCGACCCCTGCCTGAGCTCCCGAGGAGGCCGGCGGTGTGAGCAGGCGAGGCCTGAGGCCGAATGGCAAGCCCGGGCCCTCTCCCGCTCTGAGAGACACAGACGTCAGCGTCCCCCGCGCTGCCCACGGAAACACAACCAGCTTACACTTGGGTCCGGCCTCGACCTGTCCACCCCGGAAAGCCCACTCAGGAGTCGGTCTGGGGCAGGCTCTGGAATGGACCCGAATCGTGCCCCCGTTTCTGCCCCTCTCCCTTGAAAGGCCTTGGCCCCTTGGTTCGGAGGCCACGGGGCGGTTGCACTTACGCTGGATGCTGAAGCAGAACTTCTTCTGCTGGTAGGAGATGTAGCTGGAGACCGCGCCGATCAGGGCCATGGCCAGGGCGCTGGCCACACCCGCGATGGTGCTGGCCTCGGCCGACACTCCTGGGCAAGAGCGGGGAGAGGGGGAGACGTGAAGAGACGTGGCACCAGGCCAACAGCCCCGCGACACCACCTCAGGCACCTGGCTCTCCTCTCGCCACCGAGCTAAGCTCTTTCAAACGCCCGCGACCCCCAAGCCAGTGTGACAGGGCAAAGCCACTTCTATCTAGGGCATCTGCCAAGCGCTTCTCGTTTTCCATAAGGATCTCCACCTCTCAGGCCAGCAGGCTCCCATGGGGCCACCTCCCCGGGGACCCCGATTTTCATGCTTCTCTTAAATCACTGTATCCTCCTGCTGCTGGCCGGGTGGCTCTCTCCTGGAAACAGGGGAAGGCCGGCACTAGGTCTCCTCGGGACACAAACCCACCGGATTCAGAGTCGTCACTGCCATACCGACCATCACCTGGAAAAAGGACAAAAACCGTGAGCCTGTGACCCCCCAGCTTGCGGGCAGCCTCTTCTCAACTCACTGACCCCGATTCTACCCCTGCCACAGCACCCCCCGCCTCCAGTAAATCCCCAGTGGGCTTCTACCTGACTCTGGCAGGACCTGCTTCCTTCTGCCTATCAGCTGCAAAGCCCAGGCCGCCAGGTACAACTCATTATTTGTAAAATGACAGTGACTGTGCCCTGAGCATGTTCTATCCCAGCTCTTCATACATGGGATTCTTTGCAACGTGGAGAGGCAGGTGCACCTAGCACCCTGATCTTCCAGGGGAGGGAGCAGGCTCGCAGGTGAGGGACTTGCCAGCAGGTGGCAGAGCTGGACCCACGCCAGGCGAACCTCCTTCTGGATGCTCATGTATGTACTGTCTCCGGTCAGAAGTCTCGATTCTTTATCTGATTGCAGAAAATGCTTCTATTGAACTTTGGGTTTTTTTGTTGTTTTTTTTTTTAAATAAAGGATGGAAGACTAGCATAAGAACAACTCATAATTCCACCATCCAGAGAGATCTGCAGTCCCTGATCCAGTATCTTGAAATTCGAAAGGCTCCGGAACAGATCAGTGGGTGGCAGAGATTAGGGCGGCGGGGCGGGGGAGATGGCTTGACTCTGAGAGGGCCCTTCGGTGTCAGAACTGGTCTTTATCGGGGCCCTGGTGGCAGTCACACGCGTCTATACCCGTAAGCGTGATAAAACTGCAAAGAACTCAACACACACACTTACCTCCCCAGACAGCAGCGCCCTGACGAGCAACATTTCAGGACATTCATTAGCCTTGGGCTCTCCCTTCTTCTCAGGGCAGAGTGCTCATTCATGGAGGGGGGCTGTACGCCCAGGACCCAGGATTTTTAAGGGAAACCGCTCTAGGATGTTGGAAGCAATGAACTCTGGCACTTCCTTCACCAATTGGAGTCCGGGGATGCACAGGTTCATGGACTGTAACACATGCGCCCTTCTGGTGGGGGGTGTTGGTAACGGGGGGGGGGGGGGCTGGGGGGAGCATAATTTTGCTGTGAACCTAAAACTGCTCTGAAAAATAAAGTCTATTTTTTTTTTTTAAAGAGTGTGGGGGATAGAAAATGAGGTTTGTTATGTTCCCACTTAGGGATGAATCCTTGAGTTAAAGACCCCTGATTGGATATGAATAGTTATTTCAAAAGCACAGTCAGTGCCGTTGGAGAGCACCAAGCAGAGAGGACGACACCGGGTCCTTTGTGCACCAGCAGGTCCGCAGTGAGGTCGCTTGTGAGGATCCGGAGTCTGATGGTGTTGGCCCATCAGTGGTCCCTTCTGCTGCACTGGACGTGGCCACTGCCAAGGGTGGGGGCAGTCTTCTCCTAGGCGTCCTCTGCTGATGTGCTCATGTCAGCAGATTTCCAGATAGGTTTGAGCAATTCAACCTCCCCTTTCTTTCACCTTGAGTCTTGAACCTCACAATCTGTATGATCGTGAGCTACAAGAATGTTACATGAAATGTAGACAGGATGGTGTTATCCACACAAGCCAAAAAGTGGAAACTACCCAAAGGTCTACCAGTTAATGAATACAGAGGTTTTTGGAATTTATGGAAAGGGTTTAATTATCCCTAATGTAAAAGGAGTCCTTATAAGTCGACGAGAAAAGATGCAGACTCCAGTAAAAAGAAAAAAAAAAAAATATGGGCAACGAATGTGAACAGGGAATTCAACACAATATTTTAAGAGGGCCTAATAAGATCTAGAGGTAAAAAGTGTTCCACCTCTCTTGGAGTCCAAGAAATGCAAATGTCAACAGGACAGCATTTTATACTGATCAAATTTACAAAGATTACAAAACTAGCATACCCAGGGAAGGTGAGGACAGGTAGGAGGGGACGCCAGTACCTCAGGGGAATACCACTTGGCAGTACACTTGAAGAGTCGCATCATTAAAACTTTATACTTCCTGTGACCCAGCAAGTCAACATCTAGGAATTTAGCTGACAAACACTGAGGGTTTTGTGTATTTGGCTCTGAGGAGGTTTATCACCTCACGGTGTAGAGCGGTAAATAGCCGGAGGGAGAGACCGCTCAAAATAGGAACTGGTTAAATAAATGATGGTATAACATCATGCACTCATTAACACAGTATTTTAGAGCACTCTTTAATGACTGAGAAAGACAGTCAGGGTGTTACTGAATAAAAACTGGTTTTAAAAAAGCAGCATGGTCCCATTTTTATAAAAATAAATATTTACAAATGTATATTATCTAGAGAAAAAGTACTACAAGCATATACTCCGAAGTATTACTGGTGATTCTTCCTAGATGGTAAAACAATAAAGGAGTCCTTTCATAGAATTTACAAGAAATGTTTCAAACATACCAGCCCCTATTGTCCCACACCTGGAGGGACAGCTCAAAGAAGCTACTCCACACGCTGCTGGCGGGATCTTCATTTTCAAGGACGGTACGTTTGGTATCCCTACCTGCCTCCTGGGTTCACAATTACATTATACACCACACTTACATACCAGAGACCAGGGTTGCCCTCTCTTGTGCTAGAAATCCCCCTGAACAGCATATCTCATGCTGCCACTGGCTTCGAGAACAGAAGCCTATACATCCAGCTCGCTATGCGGAATGCCAGAGAAACTACAGTGACTGTCCTAGCTAGAAGAACTCCTACAGCTGTGGCGAGCACTGTCCGTACAGGGAATGCTAGGACAGGAGGCATTCGTCCGCGAGGAAGTCCTAAATGTGCCCTGTCGTGAACAGAAGCGCTAGATCCAGCACATCCTCAAATGCAAAAGACGACAACGCACGGACCCGCGCGCACACGTCAGTCTTCAGGCCGCCACAAGCACGTTCCTGGGAGGCAGGGATGCAAGGCACGTATTTACCCTTCTCTGACAACAGCGCAGCCCAGGGCTCACAGCGAGCACCTGACACATCTGATTTGCCAAGGGCACGGAGAGTCGCCGAACGGTGGGGAGATTCTATCTAGAACTGCCGGGGGCGGGTGGGATGTTCAAGTGTTTAAGGACTTTCGTAAGTATGTTAGTCTTCCAGCAGCCACAGCTGGGACTTTTAGATTTTTTATAAATTTATTTTCATTATAAGAAGATGAGCAGCAGAAATGCAAAATAAAAAATTAAAAATTAAAAATGAATAAAGAAGGAAAAGGACTTGCTTCAAATGACCCATGGATACAAAGTCAAGTCAAACTGAAAAAACCGTCCAGAAGCCGGCTGCCTCAGCTAACCCCTGGGGATGCCATTCCTCACTGTCTCGGAAAGTCTCGAAGGCACGGATCTCCCCCATCCCCCACCTCCGAGATGAGAACGCTCACTCTCCAGCCAGAGCACTGAACAGGTGCTGCCCCACGACCATCTCTGAGGAGAACCCCCCCAAGAATGGAAAGGCTGTGACCCATCCCTTTAGGCGCCCTCCCTGGCCCTCTCCCCCCTCCCACCCCCAGATCCTTTACCAACTAAGAACAGATGCAAGGAGCCAGAGGAGTATCAGGCAAAGCCCTTGCTTCACAAAGAGCCTAGGCAAGTACACCAGCATTGGCGAGGTCAGGGCTTCCTTGGAGGACCCGGCCTGCAGCCCAGCGGAAGCTTCCTCTTTGTCCTCTCCCCTCTCACGAAATCCCCTTGGAGCTCAGCTGGGGGAAGGCTGGGTTCACAGACCACATCACAGAGTTCACGGCCTCTAGGAGCACGCTTACCCAGCCAGAGGGCCCTTTGGGGTCCGGGAGAAAGCACTGCATGCCATGACCCCATGACAAATGTGGCCCAGAGGGTCAGCAGCCGAGCTCATCAAGCGTGCCACCCTTCCCTTCACGGGGAGGCATGCATGAGAGGGTCTGCTCCATTTAGTCCCCCTCATTTCATGCCAGGGGTACACAAGAAAAGAGGCGCCTGCCTTTGGGAAGCCAAATCCAGCAGGAGTGGAAGTGCGTCACTCAGCACGGTGTGGGCTAGCCTGCACCGGCAGGGTGACAGAGGTTCGGCGAGGACAACGAAGGCAGGACGGGGCTGTCGCGCCTGAGGGCCATCCTGGGCTGGGCCGCAGAGGGACACAGAGTGGCGGAGCCGATCTTAGAGGCATCTCTCAAGGGATGGGGAGCTTAGCCCTCTCCGGGAAATGAGCGGGAATTCATCAGGTGCAAGAACAGCGCGTGGCAGACAGACAGCTCGGCAGGCTAAGGGGCTTGAAATCATCCTGTAGGTGGTGGGGAGCCATTAAAGAGGCTTGTCTTTTGGCTTCTTTAAAAATTTTTCCCTATATTTAATTAAGAAAAATTTCAAACATACTAAAGAGTTGAAAACATTGTACAGTGAACACTCCTATCCACCCTCTGAATTCTATAGTGTTTGGCACCATGTGCTATATCACATGTCCGTCCGTCTGTCCATCGGTCCCTCCATCCATTCATCATTCTTGTTTCTACGCCGCATTTCAAAGGCAGTCACAGACATCCGTGCACACCACCCCTAAATGTATTATGACCTACGGTTCCACATTTGCTTAGGATGCCCTTTTTTAAGGTAAAATTTACATATGGTAAAATACACAAATCTTACGTGTACTATTTGATAAGTTTTGGCAGATGCAGCCCCCTGTGAAACCCGTACCTCCACCAAAATATATAACAGCACCGTCACCTCAGAAAGTTCTCTCGTGTCCCTGCCCTATCGACCCCTGTCCACATCCCAACCCCGGGAGCCACAGACCTCGTTTCTAACTTTATAGATCAGTTTTGCAAGTATCAGAATTTCATATGGTTGGGCTCATATAGTAGGCACTCTCTTTTCATTGACTTCTTTCACTCGGCATAACATTTTTGATATTTACCCATGTTTTTATATTGGCAATTCGTTCTGTTGTATGAATATATAAAGATATCACAATTTGTCTATTCATTCTGCTGCTGGTAGTTGGGCTGTTCCCAGTGTTTTTTGTTTTTGTTTTGCTATTATAAATAAAGCTGCTA